CCCCCCCCCTTGGGAATGGCCTAAAGATGTTTCAGTCACTAGCACCGCCCGGGGGGTGGTCAGAGATAAGAGGTGTTACAGAGAGTAACAGACACAAAAATACGAGGAGGGATCAGGACAATTAATGTCTGATAGGACAGAAAGAGCAAACCACACCAGAGCACCCGCAAACCAACCATAAAATCTTGTTAAAAACGTTAAATAGGGGGTCAACCATAAATCAGCATTCCAGATCACCAAACTCCTGTCAATGTCATGTGACCTGTCTACATACATACACTGCAGCATATATATGACCCTTTCAGAAAATAAATTGTTGAACTGCACACATGGGATTTTCAGCAGTCAGAAAAAAATCAATAAAAAGTGGGTCCACTGACTCATCGTAACAAATCCAGTCACGTGACAGCAACGCACACAAAACTGGGGAGTTCCCTGTTCATCCGTCCATATGCTAAGCTAGTTGTATATTTGCAGCAAATCTGCGCAACAACAGCCTGAATTCGAAAGAAATAAGACAGTGACAAAACTGAGACTGACAAGCAAATAAAAAGAGCAGACTTAAACACATCACCCACCTCCCTTCCAGTTCCTCCATAACCACCCCAACTCTGACATCATAGGCCATGGACAACAGTAAAAGCAACAATGGATCAGAAGCAGTGCTCAACCAACATTAAATACTGCACAGTGCAGTCAAAACTTTAACAGGCAGACACCTCTTCTCTCACTCCCAGTGACAGAATCACACACATCTCACACTGCATACTACACGAACTCTACAAGGTAACAGTACAACAAAAATTATCACTCGGAATGAAGGACCAAATGACCTTACCTTCAATGTTGTTCAGCTTTTTCAGACAAGTACATAGAGGGGTACGTATCCGTAAACCTCTGCAAAGCAAAAAAGAGAATACTTATATTACGATTTGCCTCTTTACACTTCTGAAATTTTGTTCGCGTTTTACAGTAACACCTTGCCCAAATTAGATTGCTTTATTTCAAAGGAGGAATACATCATATGGTCTCCAATCATAACATAGAGAAAGATTGTCCACATTTTTTTTCCTTGACTCAACCTGTTCTCCTTCTTCTGCATTCCCCCACTAGATCTTAGGGGTATAAGGTTCAAAGTATTTACTACCCCCATACATCCCATATCCGAATTCCTGCCTGAGACTTACTCTTCTACTAGAGTGTACAAAACAGAAATGTCCCTCACTTCTCCCAAGCCATTTCATTTTGTTATAACCTGGAAGGCGGACAGTGTTTCAGACTGTTAAGCATATTCCCCTAACGACAACTTCCTTCACCACGAATTTTTTGTGACTGATAAGTAGAAGGGTGAACAGAAGAAAATAAAGAGTTAAGTATCTCTAATGAGAATACAAAATCCATCCAGTAAGTTCTGAATGTATCCAACAACCTAACATGACGACTACGAGTCCAACAGACTAGAACAAACTCTTGATTTCAAAGGAATATGAAATATAGTTCCATCATTTCCTTACACCTTCTTTAATTCTAAATGTACTGAAGATGTCTCTCCTTTGGAACATATCAAGGAAGTAAAGATCAGAAGGAAAGGAATTAATAATTGGGCAATTCATATCAACTTTGTCAACTGCACTGACAAAGTTGTGTGATGCACACTCATACTGCATTAAAATCATCTGTCAAGACGCAAAAGGCCATCCATCATTTTAATAAAGACAAACTCACAACTCACAAATACGTAACTATTTTGCTGTAGGATCCAGACAATAGGCACACTCATGAGACATTCCCACCAGGGTGAGTGAGGACAATTCGTGTAAAGTGCCTTTCCCAAGGACACAACGTCAGGCATGAGGCTCAAACCCCCAAACCCACAACTTCACACTTATGAGTCTGATAGCCTAATCACTGGATTACAGACGCCACTTTACAACAAAAAAAAAAAAATTTTTTCAAGAGGGTATATCCTCATATCATACCTTCTCTTTCCCTTCTTGGGGCATATTGTCTCCCTGAAAAAAACAACCAAAAATTAAGCTGAATTAGTTGGCACTCAATCTTTCACTTTCAATCATTCATTCCACCTTTAAAATCACAGTGTAGCTCCGTAAGTTAAACAATGGTACTATTCAAAACAAAAACAAAAAGAGCTCTCATAAATGCAATCATATCTCCATTGTAAATCTCAATGTATGGTTAATACAATGTTTGCCCTAGACACATTCATGCCGTGGTGTGAATTTGTCAACGCGTTTATTTTCCACATACAACAGTGTAACACACTTGCATTTGACCCCACAGCCTGAACAGACATCACAAGCAGGATAGGTGGGGTCCAAAAGGCTACATTGGACAGGTACGGCCCAAAGCCCAAAATGGTACATTGGACAGGATCATATCGAACTGTAAACTCATTAGGGCCTTTTGTTTCCCTGATTATCGAAATTTGCCTTTCAGCTGTTTGCCCCAATTTGCTTGATAGACCGGTGTCCATACTCTGGGTCTATCACATCGCCTTTGCACGATGCGGTCATTATCTCATGGCAGTGAGCTTGCCTTTCGTTCTTCAAATTTTAACTGGTGCAGTCACAAAAAGAAGTTTTTTAAAAATAAATACATTTTTAAAATTCTGAAATGACCTCTTAACCCTTTGAGCCTTGACCTCCCGAGGATTCCGTGCCCCTCTGCTTGAGCTCCTGAACAATATATTACCAACACTCACATGAACTTCTGAATCACATTACATATCCCAAGGTGTACCGGTGGCTAGGGCTGAAAGGGGCTTCTAGTTTAGTTTTAGTAAAAGTTTTACAGCACTTGCAACACGAAAAGGTTATAGAAGTGCCGAGGATTAGAGGTGTTACAAGAGAGTAACAAACACAAAAAAAGAGGAGAGTGAAAGACGACAGTTTTTAATAGGAAAGAAGAAGCAAACCACACCACAGCACCCGCCAACCAGCCACCTCAAAGGGTCTAGGATGCCGTCGAAAAAGAAGAAGAGATAGAGATGATAAATGTTTGATAGGAAAGAAGGAGCAAACCACACCAGAGCACCCTCCAACCACCCACATATACAGCCTAACAGAATACAAACTGGATACAATGTTACAAAAACTAAGCTGGCAAAGTCACATGAATAAAACACAACACTATTACTATTAGTCACATAAATCAAATTTAATTTTCAAAAACAAATAAAGAAAAAAAATGGGTCAAACAATGACTAAAAACATTAAGCTTGCCAGTGATGTGACCTAAATACTTGAATGACATTATTTTTTAATTATCAACAGCTGCCATCTACAATGAATATGAAATTAACTCATACAGGAGACAAAAGTAATGAATTTATTATAGTCGAATCCAGATGATGCAAAAATTTATCTAAATTTTTAAAACTTTTTTTAAGCAAGCAAAAAAAGAAATTTTTCCCACTCTGTACAAGGTCATCCATCATCCGTGAATACAATAGATTAGAAGTACACAGCCCTCCATGTTTTGAGACAGTCTTGCTAGTTACATCACAATTTTCTACTCAAATGCCTAAGGCTTCTTTTGTTTTGAGGCTATATTTCACCTTTTCATACAATTCCAGTCTCTGCTCTGTAATAATAATACATGACCGTTTTCTCCACTATTGTGAGTTTATCGAGGTTTTCTTCTCCTTCTTTTTTTTTCTTTTGAGGGGGGGGGGGTAAGAGTAATGCTTTGTTGTATTATCCTGTAATGGTATTTATAATACTGTGACAAAAAGAGATAATGTTCAATAAGATAGACAGAAATTTCAGTAAATAAGATCCTCTTCAAATATGGGTCAGCCCTGATCACTGAAATCAGTACTTTGCATACATGGAACAAACACAACACCCTCCCATCACTCACCCATGGAGGATCAGTTCATTTAAGCACTTTCCAAATGCTGGGTCTGTGTCTGAAAAAGAGGAAATTACAAAACCTGAAGATCAAAAACTAGGTTTAACTTTACGCAGTCAAATGAGCTCACCACGAACACTAAAAGTTCTTATAAATGTAAAGGCGTCTTCAACATTTTATTTTTATATTCACCCAGTTGTCAAATCCTATATAAATTCTCCTAACAGGCTGGTCAATCATTCTTATTGCTTATAACACAAAAAGCAAAACTTTTTCTTTCACTGTGGGTTTTTTCATAAAGCTAAAGACAAAATTGCATTGTCAAACAGCAGTCGGAGCATACTTTTTCTCTACCTTTTATCAAATAAAAATCAAATAAGTTTAAGAGACATCTCTATCTCTTTATGAAAGACATCGAAGGAAAACAATGAACTTGTTTGTATTACCTTTCATGTACTGCTTCAACACACCATAATTGATCAACCCATACAACTCCTGGGTAGAAGTTTTTACCCCTGTGTAAGACAAAAACAACAACAATTACATCACACAATATTCATTTTAGAATGAAAAGCCAAAAATGGTAAACAAAGAGCTAACAAAAATATTTTTAAAAAGAAGCCACCACAAGAGACAAGAGTTGGAAAAGTTTAGCTTTAGTTTTAGTTTAGTAAGAGTTTTACAGTACTTGCAACACAATACGGTCAAATAAGTGCCGAAGATTAAAGGCATTGCAAGAAAATAACAAACATAAAAAAAAGAAGAGAGATAAGGACGACAGAAGTATGACAGGAAAGAAGGAGCAAACCATATCGAAGCACCTGCCAACCACCTGCGAGTTGAAAAGTCCCTCTTTCAAGGAAAAATATATGTCAAAGAATAACCCAAGTACAAAAGTAAGCAAACCCTTACTATACTATGACTTTAAATGCAGCTTACACAACTGCATCTCCTTCTCTCCCCCCCCCCCCCCCCCCCCCCCCCGACTGACAAAATCAACTTCAATAAGCAGGCCAGAATAGGGAGGTCAGGTGAAGTCACTGGAGCTTTCAAAGAAGACACATGTCCTTATACATAATCAAATTAACTTTTAACTTTTGAAAACAGCTCTCCGCTGTCCAGGAAAGTCTTGCTCTTCGTTCTTCCACAATAAAAGGAAGAGAAAAACCCTTGCAAAGTGTAGAAGTTTTACCTTTGACATTGACGTCAATAAACTTGGAAATCTTGGCCCAGCACCTGTAGTAGAAGTAGCGGACCAACATCTTGTCTTTCGGCTGCTGACCAGGAATTCGGGTCGCATGAGAAATCCTGTTACTGATGGCCTCAAAGTTTTTGCCATGCTGAGTTGAATCAGAAGCAGATGAAAAGACAAATTTGAGAATGTTAACATTACGTCAGCAAAGACGAAAATTCAACAATCAATTTTATTTCTGCATCTTGGTGATCAATTTAACGGAATGCAAACTTCCACATTTTCACACACCTGTTTTGCCAGTTGTACATTTTGCTTTTAAAAAAAAAATTCTGCCTATACAATCAAGTGGTTTTGTTTTTTGGGGTTTTTTTCTTATGCAAGGTTAAGAGTTCCAGTACATCAAACACAATGATGAGCAACATATCAAACACAGCTTGAAAGGAAACATAATCTCAAATATAAATAGGTGCATCCAAATAAAATTACAACATCACAAACTGTAACTAGTGTAAAAAAAAATTTTAACAAAAAAACAACAAAAATCATGCACACAGACAAATCATTCATTTAGACCAATACACTTTTTAACCTTATTAAAATGAACATACCTCTGATAGGCCCAGAAAAAACAGTTTCTTGTCCCGAATACTCCAAAGAGCCCATGGGCGCCGTTTCTTATTCTTTTTGGGTTCCTTCACTGGCTTTACAAGCTTCACTGACTTCACGAGCTTCACTAGATAGAGAACGGAAAGAGCACATTGTAATACATGAAAACATCCAATTGCATACAGCACAGATATTTTTTATTAATGTTCAAACTAATGACAACAACAACAAAACAATTATGCCATTCTAACAGCTTTTCTGTTACTTCAACATTAAGTCCAGAGGATAGCAGGACAATCATACAACAGCAACAAATAGAACAGTTGGTAACCTCACCTATATTTTTAAAAAATATGAAGAAAATATTGGCAAAATTTACATCATTCCAATTGAAAGAATAAATGATTGTAACACCTGTTTCCACCTCTGCCCCAGGAAGAACAATAAAAATGTTTTACTAATTTTTCTCCCTACAGCGAAAAAATATGCAATAACGGTTTGTTTAAAAAAGAAATGTAGAATACACAATTCCAGTACAAATACAAGAAAATTTATCAGCAATTTTTTTTTTCCCAAGAACTGATCGTTTTAATTGTGCCACTCTGGTAACCATGCTGGAAAATATGGAGTAACATTAAATATATTGAGCTAATCATTTTATTTTTAACAGTTCTCCCAATACCTGTCTTTTTTAAGTTCTTGGGTGGTGTTTGAATTTGAACCGGGGGCTCCTCATCCACATCTTGACGATTTCTCTTAATAATGAGTCTCTCGCTGATTCTGACTGGCTTTGGAGCCTCATCTTTGACCTTATCATCCGACAGCTGCTCCTGAGTACTCTTGACACCTGAGCTTTTCACATCCTTGTCTGCATATGTTGAGTCTGGAGCATCTTTCTCTCCAACAGTCGACGCATCTATTGATCCAACCTTAGCCCTGGAAAACAAAAAGTTATTCATGAGTCACTCTTTAATTTATACGTTAAAAAGCAAAATGTACAAAATGATAGAGTGCAGTTCAGCAAAACAACCTCCTACGATAGAAACTTGGTCATGCAGCCTCAAAAACCGCAACTTCTCCGCTGTTTCGGATGCGAGTCCAAACAATCTAACATATCATACACTCAAAAACCCAGCACATAGTTTCGTCCTGTCAGCAATGCCTGTGAGAAGAACGTCGCTTGTAACTGGAATCACAAGTGCAGTTTTCATAGCAGTGGTAAACGCTATAAAATCAGCACAATTAGGAAATTTTAAAATCCAAATAGTTACGGTGATGAAACCGATCTCAATATATTAGCCTACTTTTTAACAAAATACAAACCAGCAAAAAAAGAACAATAAAAATTAAGAAACCAAAAAGGAAATAAAGGACAAAAAATAAGGTTAGCGTACAATAAATAGAACGTATCGGTTGCAAATCAATAACTGGGGGACAGCTGACAACTGAGGTCCCGACAAAAGGATTTTGGGTCAGAGAAACTGTACACGTCCCCTCCTGCTAAAATTAAGCTCTCTGAATCATAATTTTACATTTCGTTTCATTACTTCCTATATTTTATTGTGTTTGCTTACCTGCACCGCCAATGTGTCTTGAAAAAATATTACGTAGATCTCTATATAGCCAACTATCATTATCAATTTTTATACACAAAAGAAAACGACTCTGTAACTTTAAAAGAAAAGTCAAATTTAGTCTTTAGAAAGAGCGATAATTTTTTTTCCACTCACGCTCCCAGTCGACATGAAGCAAAATGAGAGAAGAAAAGAGTTTCTAGCACGCTGTGCATGGGTAAACCCAAAGTTTAGTTTTTGTGTAGGCCTAAGGAATACTAGAATAGATCTAGATCTAGATTCTAGATCTACACTACAGTGGAACTCAGATTCAACGAGATGAGAAAGATTCCCCATTTTTGCTCTTCTTTAAAATCAATAAAAATAACCCGGATTCAACAAGCACTTTTAATCAGCAAGCTTGGATTCAACGAGGTCGCTTCCAGAGTGAACAGCCTTCGCAGACGTGGCTTCACTCAGTTTTCTGTCAGAACGAACTTTATTTATTCCCGGAAACCACCCATTTCACCTGCATCTTGAACCATTATTCATTTAGCCGATTGCATGCGACCAATCAGTGGCCTTTGTTCATACCAACACATCTGTCGTTGGCATGCGCCCGTGTCTACTCTGGCGTGTGGCGGTGTCGGACGGGCGACATGAGCGTGTGACACGTGTGACAGTGTGTGTGTGTCGGAGAGGGGGCACGAGCGGTCCGGGCGTTGAACGTGGCAGATACAAAAGCGTCACAGTCTTTTTTTTTCCCTCGGCAACTGATCATTATTACAATGATGCTAGACTTGACAAAGATCTACGTAATGAATTGTGCGCTGGCCTGTGGAATCAAAAGTTGCAGTATGCTAGGCTCTACACAGCAACACAACTTTTTGGTAAACAATCGAGATGACACAGGCGTGCGCATTAGAACGAATCGGTCTTTTTTTTTTTTTTACACAGCTCATAATATTATTAATATGCATTTCAGGCACAACTTGTGACTTCTCTTTATATATACATTACTTGCCCAATGCCGGTGTAATTATCTACACAAAACCTCGTGTTTGCTATAACAAACACTCGGACTCAACAAGATTTTAGGTCAGGCCCGGCGACCTCGTTGAATCCGAGTTAAACTGTATTCCTGATGCACCAGGTGACCAGTTCAGACCAGTGGAATGGGCTTGCTGACTTCTGTTTCAGGATAAAATACAAAAGTTGTGGTCATACGCTTCAATACATACCTCCATAAATCCACAACATTGCTAATAACTATAATGAATACATAAATCTAACAGAAAATACTAAAAACAAAATTCATACAGGTCTTTTATCTGAAAATTCGTGGTTGAATTTTCACATTGAGGAAAATGGCTGCCTTTTCTCCCAGCAGCTCAAGATTCATCATGCTGAATGATCAACCTTTAACAGCAACCTATCTTATAAAACAATGTCACAGGGGACAGAATGGAGAGCTAACAATGTTCTGCTTGTTTATCACATTATTTAACTGAGTCTGAAAACAGACTGAGTGTATCACAGATCATTTTACTGACAAAGACAAGTCACTATCGGAAGCAAAAATGGCGAAAACGAATTCGCGTAGACCTGCACAACCCATCCTTTTCTTTGCGTTCCCGGTTCAGAGTCTTATCTACAGCAAAAATATTAGTACCATTTCAACCGATACTGACTTTTTACCATCACGTTCGTGCAAATCAGAATCATCGACAGAAATTTTTCGGCGTTTGGGGGCCATCTGTCGGGGAGCTTTTCATGTCGGAACCTCTCAGGAAAGTCCGAAAGGTTAGCGTTGCGGAGCGAATTCTTCCTTCGCTGCGATAAATCGAGCCGACAGTCGACAGCAGAGCAACAACAGAGAACAGGCCAGGTGCCATCGGTTGAGAGGTTAAATTGGTTTGTTTTCAATGTTCGCGCTGATTAAAATTAAGCAGAAAGTTTTCGATATTTATATTTTGATTTAGATCTAGGCTCAGATCCAGATGTACAAAAAAAGCACGTTCTGTTAACTTGGAAGGAGTATCAATATAGACCTAGGGGCCTAGAAATCTACATCTAAATCTAGACCAAAAAAGAAAGACGTAAAATTGCCCGAACGAATACATAAAGAAGTCCGCTTTTGTCTCTTTGATCTGTTCTAGGTCTATATGCAGGCGTCCATTTCGAAAAAGATTGTTCGGAAAGGTTTAAATGTGTGTGTGTGAGAGAGAGAGAGAGAGAGAGAGAGAGAGAGAGAGAGAGAGAGAGAGAGAGAGAGAGAGAGGGAGGGGTAGAGGAGACCGCGTACCGTGGGGGGGGGGGGGGGAGACGGAGGGCGAGGGAGAGAGGCGCGGAACATTTTTGGATGATAACGAAAAGGTGAAAAAAAAAATATATATATCAGTATACCCCTTCCACATACGTTGGCACAATTCTATTCAGACTGCCGAGTTTTTGTCTGTCTGCCCATACCAACTTGCGAAAGTGGCCTGTCAAAACTCAATGATTCATGAAGAAGTAAAGTTAATAACAGCAGTAGAGATATATACATTGGGAAACTTTCGACTTTATTTGAAACATGATACAGTAATATGTACAAAAAATATATGAGCTCTTAATTAGATAAATGTACATGTATGTGAAAAGGTAGATTGCTTTCTAAGTTCTTATAATATAGACTCTTAAATTGTTACGTCACATTCATCCATCCATCTTATGAAGAGTACGTGCGTGTGCTTGTTGGGTGATTTTTATTTATTTATTTTTTTATTTGTGGTTGGAAGAGGAGGGGTGGGTCTGGGAAATCGCAGCGTGCATAGTGCAACACATTGTTCAAAACCTGTGATGCATGCATAGCAGCAGTAAATTAAAGAGATTGCACGTTAGCTGGGGCGTAGGCTATCGATTTAAACGAAGTAGTCACTATATAATAGTGACAACAACAACAACAACAACAACAACAATTAAAATAAGAATAAAACAATAATAAGCTATACAATTATACTTAATAGCATTTATCACCGCAATCATATTATTATACCTACGAGTGAATTCATGATAAAATTGTAACATTGATTATGATATATATATTGCTGCTGCTGCTGCTGCTGCTGCTGCTGCTGCTGCTGCTGCTGCTGCTGCTGATGATGATGATGATGATGATGATGATGATGATGATGATGATGATGATGATGATGATGATGATGATGATGATGATGATGATGATGCCAGAGGAATTCTATTCTCGTTCAAAACAAAATTGCCATGACTTTCCAAAAACCCTGAAAAATGCAAATTCGCAAAATCTCTCTCTCTCTCCCTCTAGGAATTCCAAGCGTGGCTTGGTCGATGTATGTGTTACACTTGCCACGTCGCCGCCCCGCTCCCCCCCCCCTTATTTACACACACGCCTCCCCCCCCCCCCCCCCCCCATTCTTACACACACACACGCGTGCGCACGCTCTCTCTCTCTCTCTCTCTCTCTCTCTTTCCACACACACACACACACACACACACACACACACACACACACACACACACATATACACAAACACACACACACACACTCACACACATATTAATTAATTCATCGCAACCATTAGAGTCTACAAAAAATGCAGAGTGCACGTGCGTAGATTGTAGATTACTGGGAGCATAATTAGATATCACACCAAAACTAGACTTGAAGAGTGAGCTTTCAGAGTTTGATTAGCTTTTAATTTGTTAAGCATAAATAAATTCAGCACAGTTTAGAGCCTCTGGTGTAGAGAAGCAAAGCTAAGAGCTTTGAAAGCTGATAGACGCTTACAAAGTATGTTCTGTTTAAGACGATGAATGGTGGAATATAATAACAGATCTATGTAATTTCTTACATTTTGACAAAATTGCAGACTGAAACTGATACCAATGATGGCAGCCAGCATACAATCTTTGTTAAATACCAGCCATATTAAATGGATCGTAAATGGAACGTCTAATCGGCAACATCGTGTTTCTCTCTTCGGAGGGAGCGCTCCTTGCTGTTGCGCGCTAATTTATTGATGAGACATTTGATGGTGTTCTTTTGCTTTGATTATTTTTACAATTTTATTCCAAAATGTTGTGATTTAATTTAAACAAAAACAGTCAAATGAAAATTGTGTCTGCCAAAACCTTTGCTTTCAAGAAGAATAATTCATGAAGACAAAATATGAATGTTGACAATGCGGTAAACAGCCGACACATTTCGCTCTTCAACCACTTGAATACTCACGCACAAAATCTTGTCAAAAATAAAACTGTCACATTATCGTAATTAGTCTTTCAATTTGACTTCCCCGTCTTCTTTTTCACTTGCTAACAGACTTGTTCAAGAGTTTGTGAATATATGGTATGGAAACACTCTATTGAGGACTGCGCGATGTTATCTCCTGTCTCATGTTACCGGTTTGTCATTGCCAGCTCCAGCAAGTTCCAAGGAGCGAACACGAAAGTATTTTGTTGCATATGAATCTGAAACCTGAGTTTCGGTGCTGCTGAACTATTCTTTAATAAAATTATTTTGAAAATCATTAGGTCATGTGTTTAAAAAATTCGGTCGTAAAAAAAAACCTTTGTGTTTCTGCATTGAGTGGGACAGTGTAGAGCAGAACGCTCTTCATCGTCACTACCGAGTCGGATAGACCTAGTTTCTTAGTCGCTGTGATTCGCTTACAAACAGGTCTCAATTTATGGGTTGTTGGTTTATTTTCTTTACTTATTACAACAAAGTAAGAATCTAAACTGTTCTTATCTGTAATTTTGAGCTAAAATGTGTTCGGTACGCTGGAAGAGCAAACGAAACCAATGGATAAAAGCACGGAGAAAAAGAGGCGTGGCCAAGCGTACGCGGAAACACGCTTTGTTGACAAACAGCAACTCTGGAATGCCCAAAAATAGTGCTCCGATCACGTGGTGTATGACGCATCGCTCGATATCAACCAATGATATCTTGTCTTCATTGAAAGTGGATCGGAAAAAGGAAAGTTCGGCGCTTTTGTTACCAAATGAATTATTTTATTTTTATTGTGCCAGTACACTTGTAGCTTATGGAGAATCTTTGATACAAATGTAACTGCTATTTTTAACATATGTATTACGCAAGAGTTCGTAGCATTGTTTTTTACTTCTATTTATCAAGAGATCCGTTTACCTAAAGCAGTTTACCCTTTTTCCCCTTTTCATAGTGAAAGTCGGGTTTATACTAGAATTGAAGGTCTAGTTGCTAAGTCGAACAAATAATAGATGTAAAATATAACAGGACTTGAGACTTGTTACAAAAGTCAGTTTATATTTTCCCTTTACGTGTATACAGACTTGAGTGTGTCATTTACCAACATTTAAAATGTTTCGGTGGGCCGTGAAAGAGCGCTGCATTAACCTCTTCATTTTCTTTTTCTAAGAAGGAAAAAAAGGAGAACACATTTTTCGTCAGGGATAGGCCTATGCTCTAGGCATCGAATAAACGCCCCCCCCCCCC